AGCTCATCAAAAAAATAAGGCTTTAATGAAGTTAAACTAAATTGGACTGGTATTTATTTAAAATGGTGGCTGGATAGCTCAGTGAGGTAGGTGTTTTGGCCGAGGAACCAGATTTCGGCTGAATATCAGGAAAAACTTCCTAACTGTTAGAGCAGTACAACAGTGGAACCAATAACTTGGAGAGATGGTGAGTTTCTTCCAATACTGGAGGCGTTCAAGAGAAACTTAGACAAGCTTCCAATACTGGAGGCGTTCAAGAGAAAAGACAACCACCGGGCAGATCTGCTTTGATGTGTATTCCTGCATTGAGCAGGGGATTGGATTTGATGGCCTTATAGGTCCCTTCCTACTTCACAATTCTATGATTCCCCACTGTGCTTCCAGGGAGAAGAGTCAGTCCATGTGACCTTGGGCAAGCTTAGTCCCAGGATGCCCCCAGACAGGAATGGCAAATCACTTCTGAGTGTTCTCTGCCTGGGAAACCCTGAAAAAGGGGTAATAAAAGTCAGAACTGACTTAATGGCACTTGCTTATTATTATTAGACAATAGTCTAGCTTAATGTTCTTTGCCACATTTGACTGTTCACACACCTACCCACCCATCAGACTTAATAGCACCTGTGAAAGTGGTGATGAAAGTAATTAGTATTAGGGAATTAAATAACCTTAAAAGAGAATGATAAAACCATATAAAATATTGAAGGTGAAATACAATTGCTGTGAAGAAAATATATAATAAGGATTTTTTAAAAAGTATAGCAGAGATATTGGCAAAAAGGAAAGATTTATTGAAATGGAACAAATCAGAGAAATTTGATATACCTAAGAAGACAGTACAGTATTTTGAGTTTAGTAATAAGAATTCAGGAATGTTGGCCAGAGCTGCGTAAGTTTAAAATGCTAAGAACCTTATTGGAGCAATTAAAAATGATAGAGGAATAAAATGCAGCTTGATAACAGATAAAGTCCTTCCAATATTTTTTTAACACTGGGGGGAGGTCACCTCTGGAAAGAATTAAGGAATATATAGAGAAAAATTGGGGGAATAGACTTAAAGAATTGGATAGAGCTGTAATGGAGTAGCCAATAAGAGAAGATTGAAGAGGAAACAGTAGCTTAAAACTAGGGAAGGCACTAGGAATGGATTGATCGGGACCAGAATGGAGATGGACACGAACCTGAAAAATGAACCAGAAGCCAACTGGAAAACTAAATCAATTCTCATTTGGCTTTCAGTTAATGCCTGGTAGGCGGGGGTACCTTCTCCTGTCACGCTGCCGTCACGGTTGTGAGTGATGGTGGTGGCACATCCTTCTAGGAGGCGAGGAATGCCCTGAACAGCCAATAGGCAAGTGCATGTGCAGAGACAGTAAGCCTTAGCTCCTGGAAGAGAAGCTGGGCCTGCTGTCTCAAGATGGCGGCAGAGAAGGAGAAGGCAGTAGGACCAGGTTGGGAGTTGACGATGGCAGCCAAAAGAAGGCAGCTAGCTGGGCATCCATTTTGCCAAAGCAAAACGAAGCACTTGAGTGGAAAAAAGTTTGATGTTTAATTTTGTCAGAATGGGTTTTTTCTGGTACATAGTTTGGTTTGTGCCCTCTCTAGATCAGAGTATTATAAAAAAATTAAAAAAATCTTAGTACTTAAAGTCCCTTTTCAATAAAATAATGGAAGGAGATGAGATCCTGTTATCCTGGAAGCAATTGATTATCGTATTAGTCGCAGAAACCTTAAAAGTGCAGAGCTGGATGGGACCCTCTTGATCATCGAGTCCAGCCCATGTCTTGGAGGCATAGTGGAAACTCAAAACTCCCAAGCTATGCCTGTACAGCCGGATGCATAAACCACTGAACTATCTGGCAGTTCAATTAATTTTTTAAAAGATTACTGATCATGAAGCTTATAGACCGATTTTTCTAAAAAAACAAGAGGCTAAGATATTTACAGTGATATTAGCAAAGAGAATGCATAGAAGATCATTACTAAGACTGATCTTACTAAGAAGATCAGAATCGTTTTATGCCAGGAGAGTAAAATGGAATAGCTAAGCGAAAAAGGTAAAGGCAGGTATAAATTAAGTTCATTTTGAAGGCATTTGTTTTTGTGGAATGGTTAACATTAAAAGCAATAATTGAAGTATTGTGTTTTGGTAAATGTTTTAAAGGAATAATAGATTAATTACGGTATATTCAGAAAATACTCCAGCAGTACTAGTAAATGATGAGATAACAGAACAGGTGTCTTTAGGCCAAGGTGCTAGACAAGGATGGCCCCCTTTCCCTGGTTTGCTGTGGTGATTATAGAAATATTAGCAAATGCTATTATAGAAATTAAGGAGACTCTAGTTATTATCTAAAACAATACCTTACTGACAATAGGAAATCCTTTAAAAGTTATGGTGATGGTAAAACTACATTTAAAAGAACTTTGAGAGATAGCCCAGCTGCAGATAAATTGGCAGAAATCAGAAATGATGGTGTTCAATTATAACAAAGAGGAAAGAGAGGAAAAAATGGATGTTAATATTTAAAGGACTGTCCAGGTTTTAGGTATAAATATCCGGATTAATTTGAAAATATTGAAAAAAGAATTTTAAAATATTGGAACAAGTAATTAAAAATGAATTTTATGATTTAAGGAAAATTGGGTTGTCAGCATGGTAAATGTAGGAACTTGCAAAATATGCAGGAATTGTATTAGAAAAGGGAAGCAGAGGTGAAAACATTGCAGTGAAAGATATATAGTAAGTAAAATGTATAATATATTACTGTATTGGAAGCAGAAGATCAGGAGGACTTACTGTACTCAAATCATTATGGGAATTTTATTCAGGAGAAGAAATAAGCCGTAGTGCTTGGCAAAATATGTAGAATGTCAGAATATTGGAACCCATGTCAATAAGGATAAAATAAAATGCTTATAAGTTAGTTTGAAGATGGTACTGTATTTAACTCCGGTGAAACTAAACCAAATATATGGTAGTTTTTCTAAGATGTAAAGGGCGCCAGAAAGTAGGTACTTGCTTTGATATGTGGTGGGAATGTGAGAATAAATTTAAATTTTGGCAATTTGTTTTCAAAGAAAGACATCAAGTGAACAAGTTAAATATAGCTTTTATGTCCTAAAATAGTGCTTTATCAATATTGCGGGGGGGGGGGGGGGAGGTAGTTGGACAAGTAAAGAATTAGTTTCCAGTTAACAGCAGCAAGATAGATTGTTGCCAGGAATTTGAAAACCAACCATGTGATTAAGTTAAGTGATTAAGATAAGGACATTTGGAGTATACGTATCAATGTTAAATTTACATGTAATATATAAGTTAAGAGGGGGTAACAGATAGACATACATTTATAGATACATGAGAATTTATTGATTTCATATTAATTAAGGGTAATGGACAAATGCCAATGCAAGAGTCAATGCAAATGTGGAAAGGAGATGGATTTCCATAAAGGTATAGGTGGTTACTCCCAAATGGTCCCAGTGGTGGAGAATAATTTGGATTTCTTTCTCTTTCTTTCTCTCTCTCCCCCCCTCTCTCTCCCCTCCCTCCCTTCCTGTCTGTTTTAAAAGTACAGTGGGGTCTTGACTTGAGAACTTAATCCGTATTGGAAGGCGGTTCTCAAGTCAAAAAGTCTGTAGGTCAAGTCTCCATTGACCTACAGTGCATTGAAAACCGATTAATCCCGTAACAGGCCATTTTTGTTCCATTTTGGTTTTTTTCTGGTCTGTAAGTCAATTCTCAGGCTGCAAGTCAAACCTAAATTTTGCGGCCAGAGAAGTCTGTAACTCAAAAAGTCTGTAAGTCAAGCCGTCTGTAAGTCAAGGGTCCACTGTAC